ACCCAAAACCCCAAAACCCCAAAACCCCAAAACCCCAAAACCCCATGAAAGTTATTATAATTTGAACATGTACACTTCTGGGACAATGCATGCTTGAGGTTATGAATGGCTTAGGAGAATGCTTATGACTTAACGACTTCATAAACTCTGATAGTTTCATCGGCGAATCCGGCGAAGAGGAGAGTACCATCTCTGTTCCAAGCGATTGAGGTACAGGCAACATCCATCTTCTTTCTGAGCTTCTTTTCTTTGGCTTCAGCTTCTTGCTCTTCATCTTCGTACTCGACCTTAATGTCATCATCGTCGTCGTCGTGGACAGTGAGTCTGGCAATGATCTTGTCCTTTGGCAAGTTCCAGACGAGGATTCCGTTGTCGGTAGCAGCAACAATCCAGTATTTGACTGGCGAGAAGAGAACCTGGTTGATGGAAGCGTTGTGCTCCTTGTGCTTTAGGAATGATCCTTCGTTGACGTTCCAGAGCATGATGTTTCCGTCTTTTCCTCCAGAGGCGAGATAGTGAGATCTAGTGGCGAAGTCCAAGGACAAGACAGCGTTGGTGTGTCCATTGAAGGTGTTCTTCAAAGCCATGGTGTTGGAGTCCCAAACCTTGATGGTACCGTCCCAAGAGGCAGTGGCGAGAACTGGGTTCTTTGTTTCAGGAGAGAATCTAACACTGCTTACCCAATCGGTATGGGCGTCTTCCTTGACGGTATATTTGCATTGACCAACGGTATTCCAAATTTTGATGGTCTTATCCATGCTTCCTGAAGCGATCTGTCTGTTATCGGCAGAGAAGGAACAAGTGAGAATATCCTTATCATGATCAACAAAGGTGGTCGTGCTCTTTCCACTCTCTAAGTCCCATAATCTCAAAGTCTTATCCCAGGAGGCTGAGAGGCAGTATCTGGAATCTTGGGAGAGGCTCAAATCTTCAACGAAGTGAGAGTGGGCTTTGTAAACTCTTCTAGCTTTTCCCCATTCGAGGTCATCATCAGTGAAGTCTTTAGGGGTGATTTCCCATGCAATGATAGTTTTATCTCTTGAGCCGGAAATGAGGAATTCTCTTTCGGCACCAGTTTCGGTTTTCTCGATACCAACTTTAAGGCTAGTTACCCATCCTCCGTGAGCTATATGAAGAAGTTAGCGAAAGATGATGGAGAATAATAATGTTTGAATATCCACTATTATTTTATAGGCCCTTCCTAATTGCCTCCATTACTCCTCATATCTGGAGTAGGTCAGGTCGGGCATTGAAAACCAACGCTTGCTAGTAAGAAAGGGAAGTCTTACCTTTCATGAATCCTTTATATTGGAGAGTTTCTGACACTTCAGCCATCTTGTTTTTTTCTGAGGCTTTTTAATTAATAATAATTATTCAGAGTGTTATATTATATATCTCAATTTCCTACAGGAAATATGGGGTTTTGGGGTTTTGGGGTTTTGGGGTTTTGGGGTTTTGGGG